AGTTCAGCAGTAACCAAGTGGGAACAAAAGGATCAGTAGATGCAGTGAAACCAAAATGTCATAATGTTTAGCAGAAACTTCCTGACATGACTAATCCAGGAGATTCATGGGGAAGTCTTAGTAAATATCAGTTGAATATATTTTTATGCCATTAGTATTCTATCAGGTGATCCTAACCAGTAACAGGAGCCTGTTTAAAGAAACAAGGAAGTACTGCAGTAGGCTAAAGAAAGTGTCATGTAATGGAGTATAATTGGTGTGGGATTTTTATTCATTAAAAGTGAAGCTCTCCCCCTGCAGTGGCTCTGGACTGGCTTGGTACGTGCTTCATGGGGGAGGATGCTGCTCAAGCCTTCAGACAGTACGTTGTTGAACATTCCGCTCCATTTCTGCAATGCTAAAAATAGTTGTCCTCGTTTTAAAACACCGGGCTATTAGATTATTCCAAGGGTCTGGCATACTCAGTGTAATGGAAGGCAAATATCCATAAATTATCAAAACAGTAAGTAGTGTTTGACCACACTGATTTTAATTCTAGTAAGATGAGTTTCCTTGGTAGTAACCCTGGAGTACCAAGCTTATTCTGTAAATCAAGCTCCTGGTAGTGCCCCAGTAAAATTAAAAATAAAAGGAAAAATGTTTTGTTTTCACATTGAGCATGGAGAAACCTCTGACTGTTTCTTGGTGGTTTGGGATTTTTTTTACACTTTGCAAAATCGCATCTGCAAAATGTTTAATGTATTTTACAGTAATTGTTTCTCTTTCCCAGCCTTGAAGAGAATCTCACAAGTTTCCAGCATGTTTTCTGTTATAAATCATGTTAATGCCTAAAATGTTCCAAATAGCAAAATGCGTTCCAAGTGATAGATACAAGTTTTTCTCAACACTTTTTTTTTTTTTTTTTTTTTTGGTGATTAGATACTGTGATGCCTAATTCATTTTTGGCACCATGTTGTTTGGTTGTACAAATAACCAGTGCACTTAATAAAGTTCACATACGCTAAGGTAGCTTCTCATTTTTTTTTTTTAATAATTTTTAATGTGCAAATCTCTCATTTTGGGGGAAAAAAGAGCTAAATGTGGAAGTCAAGGTATAAAAACTAATGTAAACATATTCTAAGAAAGTTGCTAAGTACATAGATAAAAAGCATCTTATTCTATCTTGGAAACCTTTAGGTATAAACTAAATCTCTAATTTTAGAGGGTGTTGCAGTGCAATTACAGTCTGCAAATTCAATAATTGATAAATACATTAAGAACCATGTTTAAAAATACACTGCACATTTCCAAAATAGTTAAAGCAACCACAACTTTTGATACTGTCCTGCACAACATCCTTGTCTCTAAATTGAAGAGACATGGATTTAAGAGATGGACCACTCTCTGGTTTGGGAATTGGCTGGATGATCGCACTCAAAGAGTTGCAGTCAACACCTTGATGTCCAAGTGAAGACCAGTGATGAGTGGCATTCCTCAGGGACCAGTGTTGGGACCAGCGCCACTTAACATCTTTGTTGGAGACATGGACAGTGAGAGTGAGTGCATATCGTGGTTTAAACCCAGTGGACAGCTGAGCACCACACAGACGCTCACTCACCCTCCCCTGCCTGGGAGACAGGGGACAGAATTGGAGGAGTAAAGGGAGACTCTCAGGTTGAGGTAAAACAGTTTAATAATTGAAATAGAATAAAACAATAACAATAACAGAAAGTACAAACAGCTAATGCACAATGCAATTGCTCACCACCTGATGACTGATACCCAGCCCGTTCCCGGGTAGCGATCCTGAAATACCAAGATCCTGCAATTGCAATCCTGGAAGCGAGAACCCCCTTTTTTCCTGGCTAACCCTCCTTTATATACTGGGCATGACGTTACATGATATGGAATATTTCATTGGCTATTTCATCAGCCAGAGCTGTGGCCATGCCCCTTCCCGGATTCTTGTACACCTCCACATGGGCAGGACATAGGGAGTTGGAAAGTCCTTGATACCTCAGCAACAACTGAAAACATCAGTGTATTATCAACATTCTTCTCATACCAAATCCCATACTAATTCCAAAACACAGCACTATTCTAGCTACTAAGAAGAAAAATTAACTCTATCCCAGCCAAAACTAGGACAGTGCACCCTCAGCAAGTTTGCCGATGACACCAAGCTGTGTAGAGCCATTGACACGTGGAGGGAAGTGATCCTGTCCAGAGGGACCTTGCAAACCTCATGAAGTTCAGAAAGGCCAAGTTCAAGGTCCTGCACGTGGGTCAAGGCAGTCCCAAGCACGAATACAGGCTGGGCAATGAGTGAATTGAGAGCAGCCCTATGGAGAAGGACTTGGGGGTAATAGTGGATGGAAAACTGAATTATGAGCCAGCAATGTGCGCTCACAGCCTGAAAAAAACAACCATATCCGGGCTGCGTCAAAAGGAGTGTGGCCATCAGGTCAAGGGAGGTGATTCTCCCCCTCTAGTCCAATCTCATGAGACCCCAGCAGTACTGTGTTCATCTCTCAGGCCCTCAACAGAAGAAGGACATGGACATGCTCAAGTGAGTCCAGAGAAGGGCCACAAAGATAATCAGAGGGGGCTGGAGCACCTCCCCTGTGAGAACAGGCTGAGAGAGTTGGGGTTGTTCATCCTGGAAAAGAGAAGGCTCTGGGGAGACCTTATAGCAGCTTTCCAGCGCTTAAAGGGATCCTACAGGAAAGATGGGGAGGGACTCTTTATCAGGGAGTGTAGGAATCGGACAAGGGGTAATGTTTTTAAACTGGAAGAGGATAGATTTAGATTAGATATGAGGAAGAAATTCTTTACTTTGAGGGTGGTGAGGCACTGGCACAGGGTGCCCAGAGAAACTGTGGCTGCCTCCTCCCTGGAAGGGTTCAAGGTGAGGTCGGATGGGACTTCAAGCAACCTGGTCTAGTGGAAGGTGTCCCTGCCCATGGCATGGGGGCTGGAACTAGATGATCTTTAAGGTCTCTTCCAACCCAAACCATTCTATGATTCTACAACATTAAACATTTTATATTTAGCAAGAAGCAGTACTGATGTAGGAGGTTATTTTTGCATTGTTGTGTTGAAGGGATAATCATTTGTAGAACACTGATTAAACAGTGCAAGGCAAAACATCTATGGCTTGTCACCACAGAAGAAATATAGTGAATGTGGTTTTTTTCTAGTTCACAGTGATCTAATATAGCAGGGAAGATGAAATATTATTATCTGGTAACTTGTACTGATTAATTGGAATTTTTTCCCAGCATGCTAGCATCTATTTTTACAGATGGGAGCTGGAAGGAAGATGTTGGAAACTGTGCCATGAGTGGAGTTAGAAAAAATGCCATTTTATCAAGCTATTTTAAGCTGTATTTTAATTATTGTTTATCATGAGTACTTTGTATTTATTTGCTTAATTACTTGTATCATTTTGATGAGTAATTGTTCTTTTATTGGCTCTTTCTGTTGTTAAGACAGATTGGAGTTTTTCCTTTGTCTCTGTTCTTTTTTTGTGTTTGTGACACATTTGTCTTCTGCTTGGCTTGGAATCAAATGAGTGAACTTTCAAAACTTTCTTTTGTTGCTGAATTCTGGCTTGGCTAGAAAACTGAATTGGATGGTGTGCGATTTACCAGGGCAAACTTCTGTCAAGGAATTAAGACCTGTGAACGGAATGGAGAAAGCATTTTATTTTAGATTCCTTTAATAAGTCTTCTGAACTCCCACTTGAAGTCAAGTGAGCATGGATGAATTCTTCTAACAGAACATAACTCAGTAACTTCAGATTTATTGAGAACAAAATTAATGTACTTCATGGTGGCGTATTTAATGAATCTGTAAATGAAGGGTGGTTCTTAGCTTTGAGTGGCAGAGTCTGGTTCTCACTGGGTCTGTAATTGTTTAACACGCTTTGCTAAGGAGGAACGGAAAAGGAAACCACTGCAATATTTTATATTTTAATTCTAAGTGAGATATTACCTAGCAATATCTAGCTTTATATTAAATGCATAATTGAATTGTTTGTAGCTTTCAACTTAGAGCTATTGATTTATTTTGTTTATTTTTCTCAATTAGTCCTTATTCAGATATTGAAGTTTACCATATTACTTAGCTTGGTTAGTTACCTTTTAAAAACATTTTTTGTTTAACAAGGTGCTTGTTTGTACTTATGTTCAGTTGCTGAGCATAATTTTTAAGCATCGGGTTTCTTGAATGGAATTTACAAACCCAAATCAGATTCTTAATTTTCATGGGCAGTGAAGGAGAAGGTAGTTTGAGGGGCAGGGCTGACTAACAACTGTACAGCTGACTTATTTTGCTCTTTTCAAACATGGGGTAGAGGAGGCAGTAATTTAAGAACATATGCAGGACATTGACTTAGGAAGTAGGAGAAATTGATTTTTGTCTGCCTGGTTGCACAGGATCGAGATTTGTATTTCCTTCTGCTGAGTAGGTTGGGACTCTCCTAGAGATGGGGGAAAGATCTGAAACTCCCCTTTGAGCAGAGCCTGGAGTCAGCTTCATATATACAACTCCCTGTAGGACCTCACGGTTTAAGTGTAGATCCGTGTGGGCTCAAGCATCTGATAGGTATTAAGGAGAGGGTGGAAGCTGTAGCACCCTTGTTGGGATTTTAGGTACTTGGGTAGTATCCAGGTGTCTTCTGAAGTATTTTTTTCTGAATCAGGGCCTGAAATCCAACTTAAAGGTTTTCACGTGAGCCAAACTCCCTAATCTTTTTTTGTTGTCCAGATGTCTGAAGCAATATACCTATATCTGCTGCATAATTAGATAACCTGTAATTGTTAGTTGCCTAATATTTTGAAATGGAAATTTATTTTAATCAAATACAAGTCAACAGAGATAAACATCCCTAGAAAACAGTTCATCTGTTCTGTAGAAAATGAATGAGAAGCAATACATGTCCAGATGTCTTTTCCTTTCAGTTTAGCTCAGGCATGATATAGGTCTGTAAAATGATGGCTATGTACGTTTTGTTTCAGGGGGAAGCTGGCTTAGTAGGTGCTCCTGGCATACCTGGTCTTACTGGTTCCAAGGTAAAAAAAAAAAAAAAAAAAAAACAAACCAAAAAAAACAACAACAACAACAAACAAAACAACAGGAAAACCTCTAAACAAACCACAAAGAAAACTTAATCTCATTTCATGCATTTTCACTCTCAACATGCTCTTTGCCAGCTGTCCATTATCTACATAAACTGTATTTGTATCCAGTTTCTGAGTTCTGTAATGTGACGAAGGAACTTCACTGTCAGCTTCTCTTTTGAAAGAGAAAGGGCATGTGATGCAGTGGCACAAACCTGCCTGTTGGTATTATTTTGCATTAAGAGCAGTTGCCTACGTCTCAGAACTGTGCAGGTCTTTCCAGCCACAAGGTAGCAGATTCAAAAATATGAAATTTGAGAATCTCATGATCTCAGTGAAATGAGGTGCAGGATGGCACTGTTTCTGCCACTCTTTCATTTGAATCTTATGCTCCTCTCCAGAGGTGGAATATTCTAGAAGGACCAAAAATTGCAAAAACAGGCACGTCTATTATAGACATTGTTGGTAATATCTATTAAAGTTGCCTGACTCTTTTCATGGTCAGATTTTGTTTTCTCTTGGTTGCAGCTGTGTTTAACCGTAAGTATTTGGAATGAAATACTTATGGGTCTGTCCAGCTAATTCCTTTTAGAAAAATATAGGGGAAATAGTTCTGCTGCTTCCACAAATTAAGGGAGTACAGACCCAAAAAAACACATTATTTTGATCATATTAAAATTTCAAGAAAGTGTTCTGCAGTGTGACCTTGTTGCAAAAGGATGATTTGTGTATCTTTAGGGCAGATGCTTCCTGTAATATAGCATGAAGGGAAGCAAGGAACTTATTTTCTGCAGATGAGTGAGACAGCATTGAGTTCTACAACATGCGTACCACAATCTATCAATTTACGTGTTCAAAGTCAGAATCTCATTGACTTGTACTGTAGGCATATTTAAAACACTGAATATCAGATTAGCAATCCTGCAGTGATTATCAAAACGAGTAATCGCTGATTGGCTATGAAAAAGTTTGTGTGAAGTGTTTTACCTAACTTAGTATGAGAATTTTGCCACAGAAAGGAGAATTTAAGTCAGTCATAAATGTCTTATTTTGCAACTTTCACATTTTTATTTCTGCAACATTTTAATTCTTTGAAGTAACTTGTGGCTAACTTTGTTATATTTTTAATGATGTTAAATGGAAATTAGCTAAATTTCTTCCTCTGCACTTTCTGTTGACTGTATTTCTTATTTTCTCTAATTGGAAATAGGTTTTTAAAATTCAAATATGTGCAAAAAATCTGGACACTCTGACTATTTCTGATAATGAAGGAGTCAGTATATCACCTTATACATTGGAACAGGCAGAGAACTGACTGGCTGAGCAGTAGCATTGCTGAAAAGGACCTGGAGTCAACATGAGGCTGAATTATGAGCTAACAGTGTTCTCCTGTTGGGAATAAAGTGAAACACATGTTGGACTACATTAGTAAAACTGCAGCTGGCAGATCAGGTGAAGATATTTTTCCCTCCTTTTCTCAGTGGCACTACATCTGGTATGCTGTGTCATATTTGGGGGATCTTCCACCCTCACTTCTGCAGGAGAGCTGGAGAAACCAGAGAGGGTCCAAGCAGGGAGCTAGTATGTGTTCAGGAGTGTAGAAAACAAAACCTTTGAGGAGAGTTCCAAGGAAGTGAGTTTGTTGAGTCTGACGAAGAGGAAGCCAAAGAGCAATTGAGACTGGCCTGCAGGCATAAGGAGCCCAGCTGGTTGATCTTCAAGGACAGCTTCCTAAAATACCAAGAACAGTCCATGCTGATGTGCAGGGAGTTGAGCGAGTATGGCAGAAAGCCATCACGGATGAACAAGGAGCTCCTGACTGAGCTCAGACACGAAAAGAAAGTAAACAGAGAGTTTCCCAGTAGGAATATAGAAATGTTGCCAAAGCATGTGGTGATGGAGTTAGGAAACCAAAAAGTCATCTGGAACTGAAACTAATGAGGGATTTGAAGGGCAGTGTGAAGGGCTTCTGGTAAGTGCATCCACAACAAAAACAATCCTGAAGAAAATGTTGACCCACTGCTTAATGGGCTGGGGGCCATGGAAAAGGCTGAGAGTACCTGATACTTTTTTTTGCCTTGGTTTTCACTAATAAAGTTTGACCTCAGGCCTCCCAAGTTACTTAAGCCTCCTAGGAGAGTGTGTGAGAATGAACCCTTGCCCACTAAAGGGGAAAAGTGTTAAAGAGCACTTAAGTTACTTGGACATTTGCAAGATACCAGTATGTATCCAGGGGTGCTGAGGGAGCTGGGCTTGTTCAGCCTTAAGATGAGATGATTTGTAAAGGGGGAGGATGGAGGATGGTGTGCAGACTCACTGTTGTCTGTAAGTTATTGTGAGAGTTTGGAGAAGCCAGAGGCAGACTCTTGTCAGAGTTGTACAGTGAAAGTATAAGAGACAATGGACACAAGCTACAGTGAGATAAATTTTTATTCCATCTAAGAATAATTTTTATATAATGAATTGGAATTTAGTAAAGACAGGATATGCAGTCTCACAAATGGGAAAGCTAAATGAAGAAAACACTTTTCTTCTAAAAATTTGTCAAAAGTGAGCAAGCATATGCTGTGTTGTGTGTCCAGCAGTTGGAGAAGAATGAGAATCATAGAATCATAGAACAACCCAGGTTGGAATGGACCTCGGAAGATCATCTGGTCCAGCCTTGCATGAGAAAGGAATATTAGATGAGCAAAACAGAAGTTGCATACATTCAGAATTTATTTCAGTAGTTAGCCACTCATTTTTAGGTGAGGACATATGGAAAGTTATTTCACTAGATCCCATTTTGCATGCTTGGTCTTGGGCATGCTTCTAAAATTGCCCCTTAAGCTGGTGATTGCATGAGCTACCCCAGCCAAAAGAAACAAACAAAAAGCAGCCACTGTAGGTGGCTGATGAAAAGTCCAGAACTATTTGATAATCTATACCTCTGCACATCTCCGAAGCTTTTGAGTTTATTTCCCAGATGTGTAGTACATGGTGCTATATCAGTTGAAAGATTTGACAGAATGCTGATAGAAATTTTGCAAGTTGTAGCCTGCTGTTCTAGTTAACCTAACCTCACTTAAACATTAGACTTCTATATAAGGAAACAACACTCTCTGAAGGGTGAAATAATGTTTAGACATTGCTCATTCTAATTTTTAGAAAGAAATTTAGAAAACACCATATGCTTTACTTTGGAAATTTTCCAGTCTTTTCATCTTCAGACCTGTAAAAATCACGTGCATTGTACTGAAGTGGTGAAACTGAATTCTAGAGACTGGCAAAGACATACAAACCATCTCCTGCTGGATGATTTGAGAGAGAAAGAGAACGTTTGGGGACTTTTTATTAGGTAGTTTTTGTGCTACAAGTATATAATTTTGGCTGTATGTCTGCTGTATTTGTCACAAAACATACAAGTATACATTAATAAAGATCTAAAGGAGGTGTTATTCTTGTTATAATATAGCCAGGCTGCAGACTATTTGATGAAGTCATTAACGTAGTAAGATTGTACAGGAAGATTTTTTCTGAGCTAAAAGCTATCAAATTGGAGCTGGAAGAGCATTATAACAGGTCTTTTTATTGAATGATCATCAAATAAAGAATTCAATCTGCTGAAATAAGATGAGCTTGACTTACTGTTTCAAAACTCACCACTTCTGTTTGTGTTTTTTTTGTAATACCTAGGTAATTGGATGTGGTTTTCAAAGTGAAAGGAATGAGTTTTCTTGCAGTAAATTGTGTCTGTATATTTTTGTCAATTGTTCTGGGTTTTGGAGGCCTTTACAGCTGACTACTCATATTTAAAAATTAAAAATTAATAGGAATTAATATATTAAAACTGGTTCTGCAGAACAACGGAAGGGCTGCAATGACTGGGTTTAGCATCAATTAATAGTTCAGAATTTTTACAGCTGAGAAGCTCCCTTAGGCTGAAAGGAAAAATGATTGACTACTGTTAATCAACAAAACTGTAGAAAGCTTTGTCATTTTTTTGTATAGAGGTTTCACACCTTTTTAAATGAGAGACAATTGGTAACCAAATTATTTTGTTTTAATCTCATAATAAAAATTCAAATGCAATAAAACTATTTTAAAGAATGCAATTATTTGAAGAATGTTTCTGTCTGAGATTTTTATTTTACTGTTTTGTGTTCCAGGGTGAACGTGGTTTTGCGGGTAGCAAAGGTGAAGAAGGTGAAAAGGTAAATTATTCTGTCCATGTTAGCTGTTTTTTCAGTTTAACAACTTTATATATGGCCAACCAAGTAGAGCTTTTTTCTGCAGGTCTTCCTTAACTCTTTCATGAACAAAATTATTATTTTTCTCCGATGTAAATGATTCCTGAAATGCTTAAGAACAAGGAGGTTTTTACGCATATTAATCAGTGTCATCAGTGACACACTTTTTTTTAAGAAATTTTTTTAAGAATGAAGTCTAACAGAACCATAAACACTGGACTCCAGTAGTGTTTACTGCTATCTTATTTCTATGGTAACTAGTAAATGTTTATTTATACAGTATGAAATTTATGATTAAATGATGTATAGGTATTTCTAGTATTTAATTATTGTTTTTATACGTTACAAATGCACTTTTAACTGTGTTGTTGCTACTAAATGTTTTACACCCTTCTTTCCTAAGAACAGAAATTTACTTCAATAGCAAAATCTAACATTTGCTACAGCATAATTGACCACCAATTTAAAAAGGTTAATTTTCATTTATATACTTCTGTGTTCCCACACAGTAGTTAACATGGGTTTTATCTCCTGCATGCATCTGACTCAGAGTGAGAATTGACTTGACTGCCAGTGGCCAAGCTGAACCAGGTACATTTACCTCTTCCTCAGACTGGAAGTTCAGTCCCTTTGCCTGTTAGACTGGCGTGTTGCCCTAAGGACGTTCTCAGTCTCCTGACAGCCAGGAAGTGTTTCTGAGTGTAAATTCCAGGAGAAGCCTTTCCTTGTTCTTCACTAGTGGGTATCGGAAATGGAGCTTGAAGTGGTTTGTCCTAATTGCAGGTGGTCTGCAGTGGCCAGAAACAGTTCAAAAGCTTGTGCATTAAAATGGGAACTAAACTGGCCCTGTGGAAGGCTGTCCTGGCTGACAGAATTCCAGCCTGAGTCGCTCTAGATGATGCAACCTAATCTTGTGTGGCTTCAGACAAGTAGATCTTTACAGGTCATCAAAGGCAAGTCTGTGTTAAGGGACAAGTGGAAGTAAGAGCCTGCATAGCTTGCCTAGTAGGAATTAAAGTAACAGTGGTGATAGTTTATGGTTGAAACTTCAGCTCCTAACCGTGTTACTGCCTGATTGCTGCTTTTTCACTAATTTTGACTGATTTGGATTAGGCAACCTGAATTAAGACTCTTTCAGATCATAGATAGTCTCTCTGTACTTCAGCTCACTGTCTGAAAAAGGTACAGAAAAGCATTTCTGCAGAATTTATATAACATAAAGATGAAGAATGACTGATACTGCTATTCTGCCAATACTCAGACTGAAGAAAATGGAGAGTATGTGGCAGCTTCTGAATTAAAAAAAAAAAAAAAAAAAAAAAAAAAAAAAAGAATATATATGTGAGTTAGGCTTCTTTAGACATGGGTATATTCACTCACCCACCATACCTCTTCAGAAGTGTTAGCCATCTTTCCAGCATTCATATTATAGAGAAAGCATGGTATGGATTAACAGAATTTAAGAGATTTAAAATTGTGGAGGTCTTTTTAGGAGGCAGTGACCCATTAAGAAGGAAGGAAGAAGTATTAGAAGTAAAAACCAGCATCTGTAGCAACTAACATATTATAATGTGAAGATTCTGCCTCTAAAAAAAGCACTTGTTAAACTTGAGTGTTTCTAACTCTACCAACAGATCTTATTTCCTTGGTGGCAGCATTATTCATCAGTTCTGAAGGGCTTGTGGATTTTTTCTTTTTACTTTTTTTTCCCCCATAATTTCTCTGCAGCTGTGCTGTGCTTTCCTTGAGTTTTGTAAATAAATCATGTTTGAACACTGGCACGTGGTTCCAGCTGTTGCTGCCACTCTATTTGCTTGATTTCCCTTATTTTAAGGCAGAGATCAAATGACCCAACCACTGGTAGTCGTGTTTTTCTTATGTGGAAGCTGAGTCAGCACATTTAGACTTTTCCTTTTTGTCCTGTAAATTCAGAAGTTAATTAAAAGATCCCATTTAAAAGTATCTCCAGTGTAACTATTGACAATGTATTTAGCTGTCCTTCAAATAAAAGGAAATATATGAGTGAAGGGATCCTTATTTACCAGTCATCACTCAAAAATAATTTGGGACAGTCTCATCAGAAGATGCACATGATGATTTGTGAGGAAAGAATGTGTTTTAAGATTATGGGATGTAGATCTCTGCCTGGGATTTAGCAGTTACTCAATTTAGCCTTAACTCAAATAATTATTGAAGAACAGCAATGCTGAGTTTCCAGTTGCTGAACTCCAGTATTAAAAATATATCAACACCTTTGCATTTCAACATAGTGTCACTAAATCAAATGGTTGTAAATATTTATGTGTAACAAACATGATTAAAAAGCCTGGAAATTAAAAGTTTAGTTTTCCTAATACCAAAAACTCTGCCTCTTCTTACATATTAAGGAGCAAGACAGTGTTTGCACATTCTGTTTGTATCTAACCTAAAGTGGGACACAGCTGCCTAAACGTGGGACGTGTGCCAGTCCAAACTCTCTGCAGAAATGCATTAAAATGAACAACCCTGTATTTTTGTTTTGGTGACTATATGATTTCATAGGATTGAATACTTGAAACCAACTCAGCCTTATACCTTTTGGTTCACCAAATCAAACTAGTTGACTTTGGCTTTTACTGTTCTGTGTTCTGCTTTACAGAGCAAGCTCTAGGGACATCAGGGAGCTGTAGGCAACTGAGACGAAAGTGAGTGATCGTATGTAAATTAAAGATATAGGAGGCACCTATAATTTAATCTATTGAGGGAGATTCTTTTAGGCAGTTCAAAGGTTTATTTGCCACACCTGATTCTCCCTGAGGAATCCAGAAGTCGTGTTCTGCCTTCCTCCGCTTTTTGGTCTTGGTTTAACTTGGTTCTCTCTTACAAAAGCCAGTAGTGGTAAGGGAAGCTACAGACTGTGTGTACAGGTGTTATGCTGCAAGTTTTACCTCCACAGAAAATATACTCTCACTATAAATTTAATTATCCTTTGTATTCTGTTTTCTTTGTGTTACTTAGATAATGACAATGCCTTATCTTAGTCTTATAGCTGCAACAAAAACATTGGTCTACCCTTCTATAGCATGACTGAAAAAGTATATGCTGAGAACAGTTTTAATTGGTATGCTGCAGAAGGGCAGACTATCATGTGGATCTGTCCTCGTTCTAATACTGTTCAGAATTGTCATTTTACAGTATGGGATAGAAAATATGAATATTCTACTTTATGATAAAAGAAGTCAGGAGGGACTGATAATAACTAGAAGAAAGCTTTAAAATCCAGAATGTTCTTGGCAAATCAGAGAGGTAGCCTGAAACGAATAGGATCCAATGCAGAAGGGACAAGTGTGAGCAAATACCTGAAGGGGAGAATAAATCTGAGATGTGACGAAACAAATCAAATTCTGTCTACTCAGAAATAAATATATGAGGGTTATTTGGATCAGACGCTGAACACAGGTAAATAAAGTCAAGCAGTTTCAAATGAGATTCTTACAAAGATGTTTTAAAGTGGTATATTGTCTGCAACACTAATTAAATAGTCCTGTGCTATTTCATATTCGTGAAGCTTCAGTTTAAAGGATTTTGAAAGGGGAGCACTGAGAATGACTCGTGCTCATGAACATGTAACCTTTGAGGAAGGATTGCATGAATAAAGATTACTTACTGTAGAGCCAGCTGAAAAGAAATACGTAAATAGTCTTCAAATACATAACACTGCTGCAAAGAGGAAAGGAATGGTATATTTGCTGTGTCCATCATGCATGTAAAGCAGTGGGCTGAAAGTGCAGCAAGGAAGGTGCTGTATAGCCATCAGGAAAGGGGTTTTAATTTTAACACTGTTGTTTATTATGGAAGTAATTTCCTCTTCTAGTGGTCTGCACTTTTAATCCTGGTTACAGAAAAGGGAATAAACTAAAGAAAGGCTTTCTTCATGAAAATATAGGAGAACAAATTATCTTAAATGATTTTACCATTTTAAGTTAATAGCACCAAAATCATGCAAGGTATCACTTATACTGATTTCTAATGGGATAAGCACAGAGAACAGTAAGACAGTTTATTTTTCAACATATATCCTCGTTTGGTTTTAATGCCCAGTTAATACTGTTCTGTGATAGGACTGTAAAGGTCTGGAACAGGTTGCCCAAAGTGGTTGTGCAGCCTCTTCTCCTTGAGGTTTTCAAGACCAGCCCTAAGCAACCGAGCCTGACTCCATAGCTGAACCCTGCTTTGAGCAGGAGGTTGGACTAGAGACCTCTGGAGATTGCATCTAGCCTCAGTTATCCTATGATTTTCTGAATAGTGAACATGATTGTGATTTTTTTTGACTTGGCACATGTGTTCACCTTATAAATCCACTTTAAAAAGGAGAACAATAAAAAGTAGTAATGTTTTGGGGGTTTGGTGGTTTTTTTTCCAAATATTGGCAGGAGTGGGATGTGAATGTACATTTAATTTACAGTATGGACTAATATTGTTCACCAAAATGTGTTACAGACAGATTTTTTAAGATGTGTATATACGTTCACACACTCTTGTTTTGGAGCATCATATCTTGGGGTGACTCGTGCCCTTGCTTAAATATCCTATCACCTATCAGCAAATGCTGTTTTCCTTATAGAAGCTGTCGTGGAATGCTTGTTTGGGTAGTATTGTACGTGGTTGCTTGTATGATGGGTGTGTATGCCTTCTCTGGGATGTTTTTAGCTTAGGTTTGCTGAAAACCTATGAAACAGTTTTTGCCCAATACAAATAGTTACCAAATAAATTGTTCAACATAAATGAAATCAAAAGGCGTCTTCAAAATTTAAGTGCCAAAAAAAAGGATAATCTTAAGATATATTAGTATTAAAATTGCCATGAAGCTGTTTGGTTGTCTGATCACAGCTCTGTTCACCTGATCTGTGGCAGTTCCCATAGTTGAAGTTCTGTCCCTGCATCTTCTAAATACAGTTTTATTTACAAGGTGAATCCTCTTGTTT